TCCCTCAACCTTGAGTCGATGTGGTCAGTCCATCAATCTTGGTTCCAACCAACCGGTTGTAAGTCAAAATGGAAACAAGTTGAACCTTAGAAAATTGCCAACATACTGGGTAGGGCATAATGTCAAACCTTTGTTATATAAAGTACTTACATAGTATCATATGTTACTTTTTACTAAATATTTTATTACTGTATATGCTGCCAGACATATGTTACTTTTTACTAAATACAGTGGAACCTCTACTTACGAGTTTAATCCGTTCCATGACCCTGCTCGCAACTGGATTTGCTCGTTTGCAGAGTCAGTTTTTCTCATTTAAATTAACTGAAATGGAATTAATTCGTTCCAGTGGAATTCCAGGCACGAGAAAATACTTTAATAATTTCCCTAGTATCAACTATACAGCTTATTTATCTATCACAATTCATGTCATATGACATAATAAACAGTATTAATAACATAGAAACATGATATATACACTAGAATGAATAAAATACATGTCATTAGGTATGTGGCTAGTGGTGGTGAGAGCTGCCATTGTTGTTGGGGTTTATAGGGCCACCACAACGGCCAGTCCTGCTCCTGACTACATGTGTAGAGAACCTAGGATAACCCAAAAAAGTCAAACAGAGTGACTTATAAGTGCTACACTCTTAATGCTACACTTAATTGCTACACTCTTAATGCTGCACTTTGCCACTGCTGTTTTGTGCTGTCTGCCACTGCTGCGTCATGTTGTCTGCCACTGCTACCTCATGATGTCTGCCACTGCTGCTTCATATTGTCTTCCACTGCTACCTCATGATGTCTGCCACTGTTGCTTCATGTTGTCTGCCACTTCTGCTTCATGTTGTCTGCCACTGCTGCTTCATGTTGTCTACCACCACTACCTCATGATGTCTACCACTGATGTCGCCAAAGAATCGAACATTTCTGCTATTTTGAGCTCAATTTCAAGGTACTTTTCATCATGAAACCAATTAAAATCATATTTATTTTTGTAGTATATTTTCCATTCTATCACATGAGACCAAATAAAACGAGAATACGACCATAAAATCCATACGAAAATATACCACTAAGGGAAGGCTAATGGCTGAGAAGTGAACTCCATTATTTATGGTCCGATTTCTTTCATTTTTGGCGTACGTTAAGAAGCATCTTTTCATCATACATTGCCCAAGTTTCAATAAGATAGTCCAACAAACAACTGAGATCAGTCGCTAGAATCAGGAACAAGAGCCCCCCTCACCCGTTGCAATTAACCTCCCTTGAGGCCCGCTCGCATCTGGAAATTTTGCCGCGGGCTGAAGCAAAAATCGAACCCAGCAGTTGTATTGGGGAAAAATCGCATGTGGGTGCCCCTCGTAAGTAGAGGTTTCCCCCGTATTTTACTACTGTATATCTGCTAGACGTTGGCATAAGTCGAGTGTCGAAAGTCAAGCAGGTTGCAAAGTCGGATAGTACTTGTACCTCCTCCCTACCTCCCCTCCAACCCTCCTCACCTCTCCCCTCTCCCCTCTCTCACTCTCTCCCTCTCTCCCTCTCCCCTCTCCCCCTCCCACCCGGGCCCTCTCCCTCTTCCCCTTCACCCCTCCCCCCCTTCTCTCTCTCTCTCCCCTCTCCTCCTCCCCCTCTACTCCATCACTTCCCTCACTCCACCTCTCCCTCCCTTCCGCTCCCTCCCACCCACCCTCCCTCCCTCCCCTCCCCCCTCCCCCCTCCCTCCCTCCCCTCCCCCCCCCTCCCCCCCTCCCCTCCCTCCCCTCCCTCCCTCCCTCCCTCCCTCCCTCCCCTCCCCCCCTCCCCTCCCTCCCTCCCTCCCTCCCTCCTCCCTCCCCTCCCTCCCCTCCCTCCCCTCCCTCCCCTCCCCTCCCCTCCCCCCTCCCCCCCCCCTTCCCTCCCTCCTTTCCACCCTTCCTCCCCTCCCTCCCTCCCCTCCCTCCCTCCCCTCCCTCCCTCCCCCCCCCTCCCTCCCCTCCCCCCTTTCCCTCCCCTCCCTCCCTCCCCCCCTCCCTCCCTCCCTCCCTCCCTCCCCTCCCTCCCCCCTCCCCTCCCTCCCCTCCCTCCCTCCCTCCCTCCCTCCCTCCCTCCCTCCCCTCCCTCCCCTCCCTCCCTCCCCCCCCCTCCCCCCCCTCCCCTCCCTCCCCCCCCTCCCTCCCCTCCCTCCCTCCCCCTCCCTCCCTCCCTCCCCTCCCCCCTACCACCCTCCCTCCCCTCCCTCCTCTCCCCCCTACCTCCCTCTCTCTCCCCTCTCCCTCCCCTCCCTCCCCCCCTCCCCCCCTCCCCCCCCTCCCCCCCTCCCTCCCTCCCTCCCTCCCTCCCTCTCCTCCCTCCCTCCCCCCCTCCCCTCCCCTCCTCCCCCCCCTCCCTCCTCTACTTCCGAGATTATAAGAAGCCTTCTCGATAAGCATAGCTTGATTAATGATACTCAGCATGGATTCACAAGAGGCCGGTCTTGTCTAACAAATTTATTAACTTCTTTTCAGTAAAGTTTTGGAGGCGTTGACCACGATAAAGAATTTGATATTATTTACTTAAAAAAGTAAGGCTTTGATAGAGTTCCGCACCATAGATTTGTTAAAGAAAGGGGCCCAGCTCATGGCATTGGGGGGAAAAGTGCTCTCGGGGAAATAAAATCATGGCTAAAATGACAGGAAGCGGGAGTGTGTCCATAAATGGGGGAAAACGGTGGGGATCTGTAACAATTGGCGTTCCACGGGATAAATTTTGGGCTCGTTGTTTTTTAAAAATATATCAATGATCTTGAGAGGGAATTACTAGTGATTTTGAGCAAATTCCCCCGTGACAAAAAATTGGGTGGGAATTCAAAAAATTTTTTCAGGAGGGTTTAAACAAACTCTGTTCTTGGTCAGAAAAGTTTGGGAGATGCAGTTTTTAGTGTAGATAAATGCAAGGTTCTGAAGCCGGGGGCCCAAAAAAACCCCAGTACCCCTTTTAATTAAATGATTAAATTAGCCATCAAATTGGGGGAAAAAGGCTTTTATTGGTTTGGGGAGCACAACCCTTAAAACCCAAAACCAAACAATGCCTAAACCCTACGTAATAAGGGAAATAGATTACTTTGGGATTTATATCAAGAAGTGTAAGCAACAGAAGTCCAGAGGTCATACTGCAGCTTTATACATCATTAGTAAGGCCTCACCTAGATTATGCAGCTCAGTTCTGGTCTCCATATTACAGAATGGACATAAATTCGTTAGAAAACATTCAGCGTAGGATGACTAAATTAATACATAGCATTAGAAATCTTCCTTATGAAGAAAGATTGAAGACTCTTAAGTTACATTCACTTGTTAGACGAAGAATGAGGGGAGACCTGATCAAAGTGTATAAGTGGAAGATAGGTATTAATAAAGGGGATATTAATAAGGTCTTGAGGATGTCTCTCCAAGAGAGAACCCGCAGTAATGGATTTAAATTAGATAAGTTTAGATTTAGAAAGGACATAGGAAAGTATTGGTTTGGAAATAGGGTAGTTGATGAGTGGAACAGTCTACCTAGTTGAGTTATTGAGGCTGGGACTTTGGGTAGTTTCAAATTTAGGTTGGATAAGTACATGAGTGGGAGGGGTTGGATTTGAGTGGGACTTTCACATCAGAGCTTATTTCTTGGGTGGCATTGAAAATTGGGTTGGACAAATGTTTTGTTAGTGGAATGAATTGTAAAGGACCTGCCTAGTATGGGCCAACAGGCCTCCTGCAGTGTGCCTCCTTTCTTATGTTATGTTCTTATGTTCCCTCCCCTCCCTCCCTCCCTCCCTCACTTCCCTCCCTCCCCTCCCTCCCTCCCATCCCCTCCCTCCCATCCCCTCCCTCCCTCCCCTCCCTCCCTCCCTCCCTCCCTCCCTCCTTCCCTCCCCTCCCTCCCCTCCCTCCCCTCCCTCCCCTCCCCTCCCTCCCTCCCTCCCATCCCCTCCCTCTCTCCCTCCTTCCCCTCCCTCCCTCCCCTCCCCTCCCCTCCCCTCCCTTCCCTCCCTCCCTCCCTCCCCTCCCTCCCCTTTCCTTCCTCCCTCCCCTTCCCTTCCCTTCCCTCTGTTATATTTTGACTTGGCTCAAGACTTCAATTGAAAACTGATTATAGGATTCTGTTCAGAATGTGCTCATTGATATTTCTATGCCCAAACCTGTTTTCTTTTATAAGTTTCTTTCTTCAGACTGTCTGACTTAATTAGTTTAGAGCAGTATAAAGATACAGAATGGTGATAAAAAAGTGAGGCGAGGATTAAATGATAGCATAAGAAAAAATTATACCCCTTATAACAAATTACTGGTAAAGATGGGGTCACTGCATGAAGTAAAACCTCTTAATATGAAGGAAACCTGTTATACCTTTAATAAGTTCCTAGAGTTTTTGTTCTCCCAGAGCCTGGAAATGGGCCAGGCTTGTCTGGTGCTTGTTTGGTCAACCAAGCTACTGCTGATGGTGGCCTGCTGACCACATATCCATCACAGCATGGTTGATCTGGCACCTATCAGTAATTTTCCCAGTCTTTTTTAGTAATTTAGTAGCATTAAGGGAAAAAATGATCAATGCCTTAAAGCATAAGTACGTAATGTGTTTTAGTGTTAGATGAGGAGGGCATATGGTTAAAGACTTGTACAAAGGAGTCAGTGTGGCTTAACTTGTAAATTGATGTTAAATACTCTTGATGCTACTGAAATATGTTGATCATTAGAGAAGGAATTGGATTTATTATGGGAAGAATTTGAGTGATGTGTGTAACCTGTGTATGAGTGAATGAATGGATGTAAACACAGTAATACTGAAGAAACTTTACTCAGATTTATTTAAAGGTAAAAAGGCAGGTGAAGAAAATAATGTTGAGAAAGTGAGCAGTTATTTTAGTGAGAATAGAAGTGTATATGCATGTTGAGAAAGTGAGCAGTTATTTTAGTGAGAATAGAAGTGTATATGCATGTGAATACATCATTTGAAGTGCCATTAAAGAAGACTGGTGGTATTATTTGTAATCTTAGTTCCAGAAAGTCAAAAAGTTCATGTGGAGACTTGCATTAAGAAGGAAGGTGAAGAGTCAACAGGTCTGCAGCTCCAGTTGATCGCTAGAGGAGACATTAGAGTTGGGGCAGAGCTCTCGAAGTGCCATCACATGTACTTCATTCTTGGTAAGAATTATATCACAGTTTATACTTTGTTTCTCATAGCTCGACTGTGCCAGAATACTTTTTTCCAACTATCAGTCAATACAGTTTTTATGTACATAAACTTTGTACAAACTTTTTCTCCATGGGGAAGTGGAACAGAATTCTTCCTCCGTAAGCCATGCGTGTCGTAAGAGGCGACTAAAATGCCGGGAGCAAGGGGCTAGTAATCCCTTCTCCTGTATATATTACTAAATTTAAAAGGAGAAACTTTAGTTTTTCCATTTGGGCACCCCACCTCAATGGGATACGGCTGGTACGTTGAAAGAAAAAGAAAGAAAACATTGTATTTGTGTGTGTGTGCGTGCGTGCATGTGCATATGCATTTGTGTGTGTGCACTTCCCATTTCCAGAACTCAAGTCCGGCTAACCAGTTTCCCTGAATCCCTTCACAAAATATTACCCTGCTCACACACTAACAGCTCGTCAGGTCCCAAAAACTATTCATCTCCATTCACTCCTGTCTAACACACACTATATCTATAGATATACAGTGGTACAAACTCTTTTATATGGGTGTGAAGCATGGGTTGTAAATGCTGCAGCAAGGAGGAGGCTGGAGGCAGTGGAGATGTCGTGTCTAAGGGTAATGTGTGGTGTAAATATTATGCAGAGAATTCATAGTATGGAAATTAGAAGATGTGGAGTTACATGTACTAAAAGTATTAGTCAGAGGGCTGAAGAGAGGTTGTTAAGGTGGTTTGATCATTTAGAGAGGATGGAACAAAGTAGAATGACTTGGAGAGTGTATAAATCTGTAGTGGAAGGAAGGCAGGGTAGGGGTCCTCCTAGGAAAGGTTGGAGGGAGGGGGTAAAGGAGGTTTTGTGGGCAAGTGGCTTGGACTTCCAGCAGATGTGTGTGAGCGTGTTAGATAGGAGTGAATGGAGACGAATGGTTTTTGGGACCTGATGAGCTGTTGGAGTGTGAGCAGGGTAATATTTTGTGAAGGGGTTCAAGGAAAATGGTTAGCCAGATTTGAGTGCTTGAGGTGGGAAGTATAATGCCTGCACTTTAAAGGAGGAGTTTGGGATTTTGGCTGTTTGGAGTGACATCTAAACTGTTGTATCTGGGGCACATTATGTATGAATGATGGAGAAAGTATTGAATGATGATGAAAATTTTTTCTTTTTTTTTTGGGGGGGGGGTTTCTTTCTTTCTGGGTCACCCTGCCTCGGTGGGAAACGGCCTGCGTGTTAAAAAAAAATCCAGAGATAGATTCTTAATAGATTCTTTAACCCTTAAACGGTCCAAACGTATATATACGTTTTTTCAACATTTGAAAGTATATAAAAAAATGTACATCATTTTTTTTTTAACATTTGAAAATATGTAAAAGAAAATAGATGTACTTTTAGAGCACTACGGATTTGAACTTCGATCTATTTGGACCGTTTAAGGGTTAAGGAATCAGTAAGTTTTAAAAATAATTGTGACTTTCTTTAAATGCATTGCATTAGCTTGTAAATATTTTTAACATTTTTGTATTTGTATATTTTTCATACTCTTCTACAACAAGTGTTCAATTATTTCTTCTTAATAGGTGACCTAACATACCTGATGGCCAATGGCAGAATATTATGTCAGTCAGAGGAACTTCAGGTGAGTAAATTACTTGTCAGATTTAAGGGAGGGAGTATGGAGGAAGTGAATGTGTTCAGATATTTGGGAGTGGCCATGTTGGCAGATAGGTATATGAAGGACAAGGTAAACCATAGAATTGATGAAGGGAAAAAGGTAGGTGGTGCACTAAGGTATCTGTGGAGACAAAGAAAGTTATCCATGGAGGCAAAGATGGAAATATATGAGTATTGTGGTACCAACACACTTATATGGGTGTGAAGCGTAGGTTGTGAATGTTGCAGTGAGGAGGAAGTTGGAGGCAGTAGATGTTTTGTCTGAGGGCAAAATATGAAGTAAATATAATGAAGAGAAGTCATAGTTTGGAGATTAGGAGAAGGTGCAGACTAACTAAAGTATTATCCAGAGGGCTGGGTTGTGACTTGAATATACAGCAGGCATGTGTAAGCATATTAGATGATATGGTTTTTGAGGACCTGATGAACTGTTAAAGTGTGAACAGGGTGAAGGGATATAGGGAAAGTTGTTAGCTGGACTTGAATTCTGGAGATGGGAAGTACAGTGCCTGCACTCTAAAGGAGGAGTTTGGGATATTTGCTCTTTGGAGAGACATCTGAACTGTTGTATCTGCATGACTCTGGCAAAACTAATAGTGTGAATAATGGTTAAAGTGTTTTTTTTTTTTTGTTTTGGGTCACCCTGCCTCGGTAGGAGATGGCCAGTGTGTTTTTTTTAAATTTATGTTCAAGAAACAAAAAAGAAAATATCAGCAATTTTGCCAGTTCAAAATAATTAAGAGATGTATTTCAGTAAGAAAGACATTACTGTGCTGAAGACGTTTATTTATAAAACGTTTCACCCATTATTGGGCTTTTTCAAATCTGTTTCGACATACTTGTGTTTTGTGCTTGTATAACAATACTATAAACAAGAAAAAAGCAAAGAAACAAACAGTTCCATACACAGGTATGTTTTGTGAAGTCTCCCAAGAATAAAGTGAAAGTGATTACCACAATAATTTCTGGTAAAATGTTTTGGGTGTTAAACTACAGCACAAACACTTTGTATTTCACAGTATTACACTATGCTGACACAAAACTTGTCTCATGTTCAAAGAAGTACACTAGAAGATGCAGGAAAGTTCAAATGATAAACATACTGTTTAAACTTACTTTCTTTCAACAAACTGGCCAAATACCACCGTGGCAGAGTGGCCCAAAAAGAAAATCGAAAGTTTCTCTTTTTAACTTTAGTAATTTATACAGGAGAAGGGGTTACTAGCCCCTTGCTCTTGGCATTTTGCTCGCCTCTTACAACACACATGGCTTATGGAGGAAGAATTCTGTTCCACTTCTCCATGGAGATAAGAGGAAATAAACAAGAACAAGAACTAGAAAGACAACAGAAGAAAAGCCAGAGGGGTATGTATATATATACATGCTTGTATATGTATGTGTAGTGTGACCTAAGTGTAAGTAGAAGTAGCAAGATGTACCTGAAATATTGCATGTTTATGAGACAGAAAAAAGGACACCAGCAATCCTACCATCATGTAAAGCAGGAAGGTAGTACCTACCTGGGTGGTTGCTGTTTACCAACCTACTACCTTAATACTGTTTAAACATAGTGTTTAAATAAAATTTCATTGGTAATGTATTTTATTATTGTCTTAGAGCTAGTAGATAATACAGTATTTACACTAGTATGCTCTGAAAGCACACATTTTGTGTATGGAATTAAGTACATACCGTAATTAGTTACTATCAATTCTCTTTTTACATTGTAATTATAACTAAGGTATGACAGACAAGTATTTTTATAAGAAAACTTGAAAGCTGCACTATTAATCATTATTTCTTCATCCTCAGATTCACTTTGATGAATACAAAGTAATGTGTGTGACTGGTGGGAAACTGTCTCGGGCCTTGCAATCAAGAGAAGTGCACGAGGAGAGAGAAGCAATGCCTGAACTTAGCCAAAAGCAGAATAAGGCATGGTTAGATCTTAAAATGATTTTTCCTCTGTCTTCAGTTGTTGGTCATATTATTACATATGACTTATTTAGGGGGGGTTCATATAATCGCATGTTAATGTAAACATAAGCATTTAATAGGTATAGGCAGTAATAAGAGCACTTAGAAAAATAAGTGTTTTTCAATATGGACAATTATTCTATAATGTTAGGATGCTTCTGATATAAAATCACTGAAAAAAACATAATGTTTCTATAAGTGCTTGAAGAAGATGCATGAGAGAAAGAGAATGAGTAGTGCACAGGAAATAACAAGTCTTCAGTAGTGAAATATGCAGCTATACATAACTAGTTATTATCTCAGTTCCACCATTCTTGTATAATACATGTTTTATTGCACATACTCTACATTATATATAAATGTGGGAAACCAAACTTGGAGCTCAGAGAAACACAATCACTGGTTTTACAGTTTACATAAATTCTGTTATGTAAGTGCATTATTTTCATTTTTTTTTTAATTTTTACATTTTGGTATTTTAATCCCTGGACAGGAAATTGACAGTGGACACCTGGAAGTTAACATTCCCATATGAGTATAATTTTGCTGAGGCATTCAGTGATGATCTGCTGTCTGTGATAAAATGGATTAAGTTGGTTCATAACCATCGTCCCAAAACCTTCACTTCTGACAGTCCACTGCCACCTGATGTAGTTATAAGGGTAAGTTCTATTATTGAGCCCAGTGTATTACTGTAGGCAGCTTTTTTATTAATTGAAATTATGGCCATTTTGTATTCCAGATGGCATTTTAATTACACTTCCCACTTAGTACGTATTTTGAAGATAGTACATAAAGGAATGTATTGCATATTACCAGCGATAAGTTGACCATGGTCAAGAGATGGCAAAGGGGGATACTTTCATTGCAATAATCATATTTTTGCATAACCGCAGGTGTAGGTCATTACACATGGGAGTAAATTATGGGTTTTTTCTTCATCAACAGTCAACACATGCAGTGTTTTTATATCTTAGGAAACTGGTGATCGTGTGTATATACAGTAGTTGTTTATCATCATGTGACTCACAGGTGTAAAAACACAAGACTATATTAATTCTGCCTGCATAACAGTAAACATACAATGTTTACATAGCCTCTTCTTCACCAGGGTTAACCCTTTGACTGTTTTGGCTGTATATATACGTCTTATGAGCCAGTGTTTCAGACGTATATATACTCAATAATTCTAGTGGCTTCAGTCAAGCAGGAGAAAGCTGGTAGGCCCACATGGGAAAGAATCGATCTGTGTGGTCAGTGTGCGCAGTGCATAATGAGAGGAAAAAAAAAAGCTGTGTTTTTGGATTAAAAATGCCGACTTTGAGGTGTATTTTCGTATAGTATTTATAGTTGTATTCTCGTTTTCATAGTCTCATTTGATAGAATGGAAAACATATTACAGAAATAGTGGTGATTTTGATTAGTTTCACTATAAAAACGACCTTGAGATTGAGCTCAAAGTAACAGAAATGTTCGATTTTTACCAGTGTTGAAGAGTAAACAAATCACACCACATGTCCAATACACGTCAACTGGGGAGTCTAATATTCTTTCACTAGTGAACTTACATTATTTATGTCATATTTACAATAATGCAGTAGTCTGCAATACAGTAAATCTTCTATATTTTTGTGTGAATAAAAAATGAAAATAGAAAGCAAGAATAATATAAGAGGGGCCTGGAGACATGACTAATGAACAGAGGATTTGTTAGTTTAGTGTCATGAATGTCTCTACATTTTTATTCTGGACCCTATTTTGAAATTGGCATCTTTTTTAATTTGCGTAAAATTGGCCAAATTGCTAATTTCTGACCACTTTATTGGGTAGTTAAAATTGATAAATGGGCAGTTTCTTGTACTCAATTGATAGAAAAAATGGAGTTCTAAAGAAATTGATATGAGTTTGGTCGACTAGAATAATGGAATTGGCTGAAAATAGGGCTCAAATTTAGCGAAATTGCCGATGCGTATATATCACCAAGATTGCTAACTTCGTGGGAGCGTAATTCCATAAGTTTTAGATCAAATTTCGTACTTTTGGTGTTATTACCATCGGGAAAAGATTCTTTATCATTTCATAAGAATTTTTTTTTTTTTCTGATATTTTTCGATATAGAATGACAGTTTCAGAAAGGGGCTTGTAACAGTCAAAGGATTAAAATGTGGGAAAACTAGTAATAATGTTTCTATAAATTAATTATTTATCACCCCAGGAGTCACAGGTTCTGGTCATGGCTATGTGAGAGAAACTCCACCAATGACACTGGTAAATTAACTTCATATTTTTTGCATTAATACAGTCCTCCAGTACCATTCTTTCTGTAATATATGTGTATGTATTCAACAACAGTTTGGTTGCTATACTTTTTTGTGTGTAAACAAATGTGTGTGTGTGTGTGTGTGTGTGTGTGTGTGTGTGTGTGTGTGTGTGTGTGTGTGTGTGTGTGTGTGTGTGTGTGTGAGTGTGTGTGTGAGAGGTTGGGGTGCCCCAGCCTCACACACATCATTCTCGGTCCAAAAAATCCCCTTCTCCAGTAAAAGCATGGGTGTAATGAGTACATTAAGAAATAACACACTTAGTGTAAGGAACCAAGACCCTTCAATGTTGAAATATACTCTGAGATCTGAATCACACTCTTCCCCTTTGTATATCATGTTAAAATTCTAGAAAAATGATATATCAATTATCAGTACTGCATTGTTTAACTTTTGCTTACATGAGAGACAGTGAAGGTCCTGGTGGACTGCAAAGAGCTTCCAGAGGGGAAAAATGTGAGTTAGGAAGAAAAACTCAAAACACTAAGAATTCCATTGTTGGCTAATAGGAGGAAAGGTGGATGCATGACAACCATGTATAAGTATGTATAAAATAATACAAATAAATAAAGAAATAATACAAATAAATAGAGAAAAAGCAAGAGGCCACAGTTACAAATTGAAAAAAATTAATGCCAAATGGCTGAGAGAGTTTTGTCCTAGAGTAGTAGATAAATGAAATAAGATACAATGCATTGTTCATATAACAGTAACACCAATAATGACCATTAAATCTCAACTGTATTTGACTGTAGTCAAATTATTTAAATTTTATTACCTCTATTTTCATTTTTCTCCTAATAGGTACGACACTGGCTAATGGAGATAGGTGATGATCCATTTGAGGTAAAGCTGCGCTATAACTATGAGCTTTTGGAAGATGAGTATCAAGAGAGTTGTAAAAGACTTAAAGCTTTGGATGCCAGGGTAAGTTTGTTTTCCCACTGTATATTCGGTAATGAGAGACACTTGCATCTCATATATCCACACTTGTTATAATTAAAATTCCAGTTTATTGAAAGATTTAAGTAGCTTCTACCTGTTGTCAGTGAACAGCAGAACTTTCATTTATAAGAGTGGCACTTGTTTACTTCAGTAATATTTCTTAACATAAGAACATAAGAAAGAACACTGCAACAGGCCTACTGGCCTATGCGAGGCAGGTCCAATTCTCCCACGAGCTTAAACCAGTGCCTGGACCTAGTGAGGTCAGACATGTCACTCAAGGGAGGAGCATGGCATCCGACCTAGTAGCACAAGCTAGTCAGGTCCAACTCACACCCACTCATGTAATTATCCAACCTATTTTTAAAACAACACTACATTTTATCTTCTATGACGGTACTCAGGAGTTTGTTCCACTCATCCACAACTCTATTATATTTTTATTATTATTATTATTATTATTATTATTATTATTATTATTATTATTATTGTTATTATTATTTGGGAAACCTAATGTGTTGTATATTGGCTATGTCTGATTTATCAATATACTATGCTAGAATCTTCAACCTATAATAAAACGAACCACTGACGTTAATGCTAATGTTGAGAATGGATTTGCTTTTATTCCTATTACTTGGAACTGACTTTCATGTTGCCCTGCTGTTAACTGAAAGACAATTTTAGATACTACATGTACTTACCTTCTTTTGAATAATTAGATGGAAGATAAATCTTTATTTTGATTATACTGTACTGTACTTTTATATCCATACATGCTGCAAGTTAATGTTACATCTCAACACTTTTTTTTTTTCTTTTTCACTTGAGTCCTGGAGGTGGGAAGTACAGTGCCTGCACTCTGAAGGGGGGGTGGGGATATTTTCAGTTTGGGGGGCACCTAAACTGTAATGTCTGTACACCTCTGGCAAGACATTAAATGGAGTGAATATGGTGAAAGTGTTTATTTTTTTTTTTTTTGGGTCACCCTACCTTCATGGAGAAGGGCCAGTTGTTAAAAAAAAAAGTCTCTGTACATCAGTTCCCTCTTGGAACTAAAAGTTTCTTTATAAATTTAGAGTATTCTATCTGTGATCTACTTGCACCTCTCTCAAATTCATTTTTTATTAACACTGATCATTTTCCACTGAGGTGTTGAGATGAAAAAGAAACACTTTTACCATCATTCAGTCTATCACTATCTTTCAGGGGTGCACAGATACCACAGTCCAAATGCACCTCTAAACTGCAAATATCCCACTGACTTTTTTGTTTTACTCCTAAATTATCCACTCATTTATTGCCTAATATGGTTATCTTTGTTACATTATCTAAGAGAATTGTTTTATCTAAGAGGTTTTCTTTTCTTCATGGCTGGTCTACAGATAGAGGAGCGACGTAAAACTATGTTTCTTTTCCCAACTGGCAAGATTGAAGAGCTTTACAAGAACCTACAAGAGAAAAATAGTGAGACATATATAAAGCGCTCCAAACTGGTAAGTAAAAAAAAAAAAATGTAGACTCAATTTCATTAAAATCAAGTAACAATGCACACAAAAATTTTCAACTTTCCTAACTTCATACGAATTGGCATTAGTTACCTCATATCACATTTTATGCATTTTTTTGCTTTCAAGGTCATAATGGACAAAGGTTAGACTTTGAATTCCTATACAGTGGACCCCCGCATAGCGAACTTAATCCGTGCAAGAGGGCTGGCTGTTATGCGAAATGTTCGCTATGCGAATGAATTTTCCCCATAAGAAATAATGGAAATAAAATTAATCCGTGCAAGACACCCAAAAGTATGAAAAAAAATTTTTTTTACCACAAAAAAATGTTAATTTTAGTACACACAAACTGAAAAAGGCATGCACAATTACATGACACTTACTTTTATTGAAGATCTGGTGATGATTGATGGGATGGGAGGAGGGGAGAGAGAGTGTTAGTGTTTAGAAGGGGAATCCCCTCCATTAGGACTTGAGGTACAAGTCCTTTTCGGGGTTACTTCCCTTCTTCTTTTAATGCCACTAGGCCCAGCTTCAGAGTCACTGGACTTCTTTCGCACAACATATCTGTCCATAGTGGCCGTACCTCTCTTCCTTTATGATTTGTCTAAAGTGGTTCAAAACAGTGTCATTGTAACAGTCACCAGCACGGCTTGCAATAGCTGTGTGAGGGTGATTTTCATCAAAAAAGGTTTTTGCACTTCAAGCCATTTTGCACACATTTCCTTAATCTTTAAAGTAGGCAATTCCTTCAATTTCTCTCCCCCCTCCTTTGAACCAGTTTTCCCCAGGTCTGGCCTCTTGCTCTTGAAGTTGATCTATCAGCTCATCAGTGGTTAGTTCTTCATTGTCCCCTAACCAACTCTTCCACATCCTCCCCACTAACCTCCAACCCCAAGGACTTCCCCAATTCCACAATTGATTCCTAACTGGTATACTCTCCTCTCAGGGTTAGCCTCAAACCCTTCAAAATCCCTTTTGTCTAAAACATTCTGGCCACAGTTTCTTCCAAGCAGAGTTCAAGGTTCTCTTAGTCACTCCCTCCCAAGCCTTACCTATAAGGTTTACACAATTGAGGATATTAAAGTGATCCTTCCAAAACTCTTTTAGAGTCAATCGAGTGTCTGTGGTCACTTCAAAGCACTTTTGAAACAGAGCTTTTGTACAGTTTCCTGAAGTTGGAAATGACCTGCTGGTCCATGGGCTGCAGGAGAGGAGTGGTATTAGGAGGCAAAAACTTCACCTTAATGACCAGGGGCATTGTCTAACACCAGGAGGCACTTAAGGTCTAATTTCTTTTCAGTTAGGTAATCTTTCACATTGGGGGCAAATGCATGGTGTAACCAGTTATAGAAAAATTCCCTAGTGACCCATGCCTTACTGTTTGCCCTCCACAGCACACACAAATTATCCTTGAGGACATTCTTTTGCCTGAACGCTCTGGGAGTTTCAGAGTGATACACTAATAAAGGCTTAACTTTGCAATCACCACTAGCATTGGCACACATCAACAAAGTAAGCCTGTCTTTCATAGGCTTATGTCCTGGGAGTGCCTTTTCCTCCTGAGTAATGTAGGTCCTGCTTGCATTTTCTTCCAGAACAGGCCTGTTTCATCACAATTAAACACTTGTTCAGTTCCAGTCCTTCAGTTTCTATGTACTCCTTGAATTCATGCACAATTTTTTAGCCGCTTTGTGGCCGAACTGGCAGCCTCACCATGCCGTATCACACTATGGATGCCAACTAAAGCTTCTTAAATCTCTCAAACCAACCTTTGGGTGGCCTTAAATTCACTCACATCATCACTAGTTTTCAGGCATTTTTTTTAATTAAATCGTCATGCAACTTCCTACCTTTTCACATATGATCGCTTGAGAGACGCTATCTCCTGCTAGCTGTTTTTCATTTACCACACCAATAAGATCTCTCAACATCTTCCATCACTTGCGATCTTTGTTTCGAAAACACAGTTAAACCTTTGGCAACAAACAGCTTCCTTGATTGCCGTTTTCTTCCCCCACAATTAGAAGAGATGGTTGTTTTTGGGTTTCTTGTACAACCTGACCAGGTCGGTGATACGTACCCACTTTCATACTTATCAATGATCTCTTTCTTCATTTCAATGGGTATCTTACCCTTTGAGGTGTACGTTGGCACTAGAAGCTTTCTTGGGGCCCATGGTCACTTATTTTCCAGAAACAGCACCGAAAACACTGTAATAATACGAAATATTCCGAGTGTATGCTTGAATGTTACCGCGGAGGCTGGCTGGTAAACAATGGCACGGGCGGCACATGTGAGGCTGGCTGAGGGCGCACATTGGACGCGTCTCGGACGAAGGCCGCTGAGCGGGTTTTTGTCCACTATGCGGGGCAAAATTTTAGCGAACAAAGCATCCGCTATGCGGATTGTCCACTATGCAAGGCGTCCGCTATGCGGGGGTCCACTGTATTTATTTTGCTAGTTAAGATATGTTAGTTTATCTCAGCTCATTTCAGGGCTGTAGTATGTATTCAATTCAAACTTTATTCTCTATAAGTATTACAATGCTGAGTTTACAGAATTTGGTTATTGTGTGGTTTACATGTAGTAGTGTATTAACTATTAGTGTTTATTTATTGATATATGCTTTACTTAATTTAGTATTGAGCAACATGCATATAGGAAACAGGGTGAAGTTATAGACAGCTATACGCAAGGGCTTTCATTTAATCAGCTGATCATGTTTTGTTTCTTCTTTTTCGGGTCACCCTGCCTCGGTAGGATACGGTCCAATGTGTTAAAAAAAATGTGAGACTTTATTTCAAGTGTGAGTCAGTTGGGTCAAGAGTAATAGATGAGTGATGTGCTTGAGAATTAAAATCCTTGATGCAGTAAATATTTTATGGTACTTTAAAATGTTTATAGAGGGGCAACTGATATATCGGATCATTATTTAGTTGTAGCTACAGTTAGAGTAAGAGGTAGATGGGAAAAGAGGAAGGTGGCAACAAGAAGTAAGAGGGAGGTGAAAGTGTATAAACTAAGGGAGGAGGAAGTTCGGGTGAGATATAAGCGACTATTGGCAGAAAGGTTGGCTAGTGCAAAGATGAGTAGTGGGGGGGTTGAAGAGGGTTGGAATAGTTTTAAAAATGCAGCATTAGAATGTGGGGCAGAAGCTTGTGGTTATAGGGGTGGGGGCAGGAGGAAAGAGGAGTGATTGGTGGAATGATGAAGTAAAAGGTGTGATAAAAGAGAAAAAGGTAGCTTATGAGAGGTTTTTACAAGGCAGAAGTGTTATAAGGAAAGCAGAGTATATAGAGAGTAAAAGAAGGTGAAGAAGTGGTGAAGAGTGCAAAAGGAGAGCAGATGATAGAGTGGAGAGGCACTGTTCAAGAAAATTTTTAAAGAAAATAAGAAAAAATTTTGGAGTGAGTTAAACAAGTTAAGAAAGCCTAGGAAAGTATTGATTTTTCAGTTAAAAACAGGGGTAGGGAGTTAGTAGATGGGAGGATGGAGGTATTAGGTAGATGGCGAGAATATTTGAGAAACTTTTAAATGTTGAGGAAGAAAGGGGGGTGGTAATTTCATGCACTGGCCCAAAGGGGGTATACCATCTTTTAGGAGTGAAGAAGAGCAGAATGTAAGTGTGATGGAGGTACGTGAGGCATTACGTAGAATAAAAGGGGTAAAGCAGCTGGAACTGATGGGATCAAAGACAGAAATGTTAAAAGCAGGGAGGGATATGTGTTGGAGTGGTTGGTACTTTTGCTTTAATAAATGTATGAAAGAGGGAAGGTACCCAGGGGTTGGCAGAGAGCCCTGTATACTCCCTTTATATAAAGGAAAGGGGACAAAAAGATTGTAAAAATTATAGAGGAATAAGTTACTGAGTATACAGGAAAAGTATACGGTAGGGTTATAATTGAAAGAATTAGAGGTAAGACAGAATGTAGGATTGCAGATGAGCAGGGGGGCTTCAGAGTGGGTAGGGATGTGTAGATCAAGTTTTACATTGAAACATGTATGTGAACATATTTTTGATAAAGGAGGGAAGTTTTTATTGCATTTATGGATTTTGAAAAGGCATATGATAAGTGGAAGAGGAGCAATGGGCAGATGTTGCAAGTATATAGAATAGTTGTAAGTTACTAAATGCTGTTAAGAGTTTTTAGAGGGTAGTGAGGCTCAGGTTAGGGGGTAGAAGAGAGGAGAATACTTCCCGTAAAAAATAGGTCTTAGACAGGGATGTTTCAATGTCACCATGGTTGTTTAATATATTTATAGATGGGTTGTAAAAGAATAAATGCTAGGGTGTTCGGAGAAGGGTGGGATTAAATTATGGGGAATCAAAATTTAAAATGGAATTGACACAGTTACTTTTTGCTGTGAACTGTGCTTATGGGGGGTTCTAAAGAAAAATTGCAAAGTTTTGTGGTTAGTTTGGATTTTGTGGGAGACGGCCAACTTGTTGAAAAAAAACAACAACTTTAAAATGTACTATAATTCATTTATCATGAATCTCTTGTTATCAGATGTACGAGTCTGCACCAATGCGAACTCAGCTGTTTACTTGGACAATGGAAGATGTGGTTATTTTCGCTATGGCTGATCCAACTTTCCATGGCACAGATAGAGTGATACAGCACATGACTGATATTGACCCTGAATCGTGAGTTTGTTTAAGGTTACCATTAAATTTGTAGATTGGTGATGTAATTTGTGTGAGTGTCATAATTTAGAGTATTTGACTCAGTCTGAAGTTTCTCATTAGACACTGTTAACATTGCTAGACCCTGGCCAGAGGAGGGACAAGAGTTTTCTACATTGTGGTGCCGCATGGTGTCTGCCTCATGTGCAGAATGGAAGTTCAGATTACGGGATTACCCACAATCTCTTCTTCACATGAAGGATTTGGAATTGTGGGGACGACTTATTGGTGCTGAACAGAAAGCCAGGAAAAGAGGTAACAAAAAATGGTTAACCAAATACTGTTTTATATTGTTTGAATAATACTGTATTGTTATTTAGAGACATACAAATAAATGTTATGTAGCTCCATAGATGCCATATAAGCTCCAGTCTGGAACCTTAAACAATAATTTAATTCCCATGGTCACCTTGTCTAGTGGGTTGGTAGTTTGAGCCAAGGATGGGTCTCTCATGCACATGATTTAAGTGTGCAGTGCACAGTAGTGTAATTTTTTCAACCTTTTTATTTAAATCATCTGCTTTATTCTTTCTACACTATCTCCTAGACTCTCTTGTTTTAACCCTTTAAAAGTCAACAGGACCTCTCCCAAACTTGTTCTCAGGGTCAAAAATTTTTCGAAAAAAAAAAAAAAAAAAAAAATTCTTGTGAAATGATAGATTTTTTTTTTTGTGAGTATTACAGGCCAAAAATTTTTTTTGTGATCAATACTTACGGAGATATGGAGGAGTGAAGTTGAGAGAAATTGAACCACTTACAGCAACATCGCCGACTGCCGGTCACCCAGTAATAGCTTTTTTTTTCTACTTTTTCCTTTTATTTTTTAATATTTTATTTTTTCAAGTAACTTTTATGGCCTCTGAGACCAATATAAAGACTATTTGGTATATATTCACTCATTGCATACTACACAATAACAGCACAATCTTTGCTGTCATTATATTGTTTACAAAATATGTTTACACAAACCAACAATAAAAAATGTTGTTTATTACTATTTTTCTATCATATATATACACATATAGAGTCACTGAACAGGTTCCTGTAACTGCAAGAGGTTCTGAAAGCTTGTAGTTGTATGTGGGTGGACTTGTAAATATGCTGAGTCACCAGCGTGTCTTGTGTCACAAAGATACATCATACCACTACTCACTAACCCTCACTGCCTTCCACAACACATCCCTTCCTCCCCACACACCTACCTTCCTTCTTTCCTTCCTTCCTTCCTTTCCTTTCCTTTCCTTTCCTTTCCTTTCCTTTCCTTTCCTTCCTTCCTTCCTTCCTTCCTTCCTTCCTTCCTTCCTTCCTTCCTTCCTTCCTTCCTTCCTTCCTTCCTTCCTTCCTTCCTTACTTCCATCCTTCCAACCTTCCCCTTCCTCTCATCTCTTCCTACCTACCTTCCCTTCTTCCTACCTACCTTCCCTCCTTCCTTCCTACCTACCTTCCCTCCTTCCTTCTATCCTTCCTTCCTTCCTTCCTTCCTTCTATCCTTCCTTCCTTTCTTTCTTCCTTCAAGCACCTTTTATGGCCTGTGAGACCAATATAAGGTATATTGAATGTATATTCACTCATATGCTACACAATAACTGCACAAACAGTTATTATATTATTTACAAAACATGTTTACACAAACCAACTATAAAAATGTTGTTTATTACTATTTTACTATCATGTATATACACATATAAAGTCACTGGACACTTCCCAGAACTGCTACAGCTTCTGTAAAGCTTGCAGTTGTTGTGTGGGGGTGGCCTTGTAAATATGCTGAGTCACTAGCATAATTAGTGTCACAATGACAAATCACACCATCACTCACCACCCTCACTGCCTGTCAACACCCATCCCTTCCCCCCCCCCACCACCAACCCACATGGAAATAAGTCAAAGTCTGAATTTCTTGGGTTATCCTAGGTTGATGGTCTGCTTCCTTCCTTCCTTCCTCCCTTTCTTTCTACCTTCCTTCCTTCCTTCCTTCCTTCCTTCCTTCCTTCCTTCTTTCCTTCCTTCCTTCCTTCAGGTTTCCTGGGCATTGCTTTCAGTCACAAACTCCTCAAAACCATGAAATTCAGCTTCACTGACACTTCCATCAGTGTTTGAACTGTCACTTGGGAACAAAAGAGCCCCAGTTAGCCGAGGAGTGAGGAGTTTCTTAGTGCTAGACATAGTGAACAAGGTGTAATAAAATGGCTTTCCCACAATGCATCACTGGGTCCCCGATTTTTTTTTGTACCGTGCACACTGACCACAGAAACCCATTCTCTCGCATTTAAGCCTACCAACATTTTCCTGCTTGATTTGAGGACGCTAGAATTTATGTGTACTAGTGCGTCAATAACCCTGGCGCGTAAGACGTACTAGTACGTCAAAAACCCTGAAAGGGTTAATTAAACATTTGTGAAACTGACTCATGGTAAACATTTTCACATCTGGCAAGATCGATGGTCTTTTCTGTCTCATGAACACACATGATGACAGCTAAGCATCTTTCAGCTTTCCTTCATTCAGTATATACTTTGCTTTCATGTGTATTTTTCATACAGCAAGTTCTTTGTTTAGTGTATGTTCTCACTTCTCTGGAAATATTGGTTAGAATTCTTCTTTTGTGGACCATTAATGTCTTAGAGGATGACAAGAGGCTGGTAACCACTTTCTTTTGTATGTAGTTCTATAAGGAAAAAGAAGAATATATGTATATTGTAGTTTGTTTGAATGTCTATAATGTAGTACACTGTGGGTATAGTACAGGTGTTAAGAAAAATGTGATTCTTAATTTTATGAGTGAAAGAAAGCTAGATGTTCTAGCCTAGTACCAAGTGCAGTAGAGTCAAAAGGGTTGAATGAGTCTGAATGGGGAGCACTAAATGGGATTAAGTCATGTGTTTCTAAGAGAACAAGAGTTAAAATGTATTAGTGAGAATGTTTAATGAAGAATTGGACAGAAAAGAAAGAAGGGGTATAACTGCTCAAATTCATGAATTACTTGGTTTAAAATAAGAGTGAAACTTGAAAAGAGGGTTACACTGTAATAAGCAGTTGTCTGCCTCAAGGTGAGAGGAGTGTACAGGAAGAAGGGAGCAAGATTCTGGGAGGTGTTAAGTGAATATTAGCAAGTTTTAAACAAAATGAGAAAATAATTGTTGTGGAAGACCTTTGTGTTAAGGTGGGAGACACTCTTATAGAGAGCACACGTATTAATAAAACATTGCTGTACTGTAATTACATTTGTAGGAAAGAGCACATGGCCCAGGTATTTGTTTTATGACATATTGAGTGGTAGTGTTGGTTCTGTGGTGGGTGTGTGGCAGAAAACCCTTCTATGTAGTGCTTTAAGCAGTAATGTCCATTGATGTACATGCATATGCATTTGCCTAATGGTAATGAACTATGGGGAGCCGCCATCAAGTGAAATTGTGGTTAGTGTTATTTACATTGTGCTTTAATAGTTTGTGTCTAGGCTTTAGTATAGTATTCTGTATATCATTCACCCCACCACCAGATACAACTATCAAAAGATTCACAAAAGAATGAAGGGACACTTCAAAAAAGGCCTACTGGCTTATGCTAGGCAGGTCCTTTTCCAACTCACTGCCACTCAGGTGCCTTACCCTCCTGAAGTGACCAAGGTCCCAGGACCAAAACATTTCCAATAAAATGTCTAAATGTTTGCCTTCTATGTCATTTTTTCCAACCAATTGTCAGTATCGTGTATTATTTTTTACCTGATAATTTCTCATTATCATAATTTTTTATATTTAAACTTAACTAGATGAAAAGCAAATTTTAGTATTAGTGGTGAACATATAATTATGTTCTTGTTGTTTTGTTGCAGCAATACGTAATGTAAAGGTGGAAGTAGGAAGTCCATGGTCAGATATAACAGTTGAGAGAACTATGTCATCACTAAAGTTCTATCATGATTTTTCCTGTGAGGTTAAAACCTTCACAGCAGCAAATGGACCCTGCTGGGAGCCAGCTGTCGCACAGTTTAACATTGGTAATATCACCAATGCTTTTTATCATTACCACCAATGCTTTTTATTCTCTGTCACACCATAAAGAATTGAATTGTAGTACATTGGTACTGATATAATTTTGAAATACATGCATTATTAGAGAGTCTACATGAAGCACAGATAATTAGTTATTTCATTTGACCTGACTTGCAGCTCTCTCTCTGATCAACCAACCATCTCGTGACCCTTCAACTCCCTTACCTTGGTGGGATAAGATGCGGCTCCTCTTTCACGGACGGCTGACTCTGATGGTTGAGCGCATGACTCTGCTACTTCATGCATCCTTAGATCCCTATAACACCACAGAAGAAATGGAGCTTACTTGGACTAATTTAACTATGGACTGGACTAATGGTATGTCAACCATAATTTAGTATTGACTTAAAGCATTCTAAAAGAACATGTTCCTTACATCAAAAGTCCATGGCTTCATTATGGTACTTGACACTGTTTTCTGAGACTCACTCATGATCTTGTTAAACACTTCACCTGTCACTCTGATGTATTATTTAACTTTATTATTATCTTGAAATTCATGTAATTGGTCAACAACTTCAATTAAATGCAAACAAATAACAACACCATTGAATTAGGGTTAAGATACACAGTGTTACATGAGATGTTAAGTTATGAACAAGGAGTGGCTGACTTAGAGGGAAGAGGGTGTTGGTGTGGGGAATGCAGGTCATTCCTTACCCTTGCATATTTGTTTTTGGCTCTTCTGCTCACTTTCCTTTTTTCTTTTATCCTTTGTTTTCTGTAGTTTTCCATTTTTTTGTGCTTTTCCTCTCTTGATTTAATAAGACATTTGAACAAACATTAGGGTGTATTTTTTACTCTGCATCTTTTATTAAACCACATTTGTATATGTGTGGGTGGGTGTGGGTTTGTGAGAGTATGTGTGGGTGTGTGAGTGTGGTTGATTGAATAAATGATAATTAAAAAAACAGACAAGAGAGCATGAATCTAACTGTGCTTATGTAACTACAACTACTGTAGGCTACTACACGCTTTCTTCCTCCCCTTCCCCCCCTTCTTTCTATTTTTCTCCTACCACAGAAAATATACTGTATCATAAAATATTTTTTATTTGCAGCGAAATTAATCTTTAAAGGAGAACTAAATGTTTTTGTAAGGACAGCATCCAAGTATGATGATGCCAGACTTCTTCATTTGCCGAACCTTAAGGTAAATAATTGTAATCTTAAACTTGCCTGTTGGTCTCAAATTAATGAGCGGGATACTAAATGTTTTTGAGAAATTCAAGATTACTTTTCTATTGATCTTGGTCATATTTTTTTATTTTATTTTTTTTTTTTAAATTTTACACTTTTTATGTACAATGTATAATTAAGTGTACAGTATTTTTGTTCATGCCTTGTATTAAAAAATATTTTTTTGTTGCTGTATAGTTAACAGTGAAGATGAACTGGCAGTGTCATGGCAACCCAAATGACCACCACTCAGTTATGCTTTGTGCGCCAGACAAACTTCCAGAGTACTCAAGCAATCAGGTACAGAACTTTTATTTTTTAATCTTTCTCACAATTCTGTGTGACTTGGCTCATTTTAATATGAGAACCAAGAGAAGATTTGGTATACAATTATTTAAAATGACATTAATTTGAATTAGTTGCCTTTAAAAACATTATCACATTAAACATAAGAGAGGAGTTCCTCCTGTTGTGATTCTTTTTCTTGGAATACCAAGCTGCATCATCTGCTTCATTTTTGTCACATATACATTGCCTTAAATACATACTTCTTTCTCATTTTATTTTTTCCCCTTTTTCCTTGTACATTTGGAGGAGAATATGTAGTATTAAAAAGATAAATGGAATAACAGATGATACTTTATGGAGAGAGATGTCTAGTCTGTAACCTGTAGCATTGAAGAATTTCTATGAAGGTTTTGTCATGTTGAGCACGTGGATGATGAGAGACATATAGTGAATGTTTTTTTTTTTTAACACATCAGCCATGTCCCACCGAGGCAGGGTGACCCAAAAAGAAAGAAAAAACTTTCATCAATTAACACTTGCACCATCACTCATACATAATCACTGTCTTTGCAGAGGTACTCAGATACGACAGTTTAGATGTCCCTCCAAACTGCTAGTATCCCAAACTCCTCCTTTAAAGTGCATGCATTGTACTTCCCACCTCCAGGACTCAAGTCTGGCTAACCGGTTTCCCAATAATATGGGAAAAAAAGTTAACAAGATCCTTCAAGGCATCCATGATCTGTACTAATAACCTGCTTCATGGAAGGGGGTAATGAGGCTAATGATTTGATTTTCACTTTTCTTTTTCAGCACTTTTACCCCTTTCACAGTCCAATTATCAGAGGTGCCTATGTTTCATCCAGCCACCATGAGACTGGCTGTTTGACAGTAACATCCATTTAATCATTGTACAATTAAGAGAACACGCACCATAAATGTATTCTGCCCATCCATTTCCTGAATACTTTCTGGGATTAGCATAATATGATAGCTCAAATACCTTGCCCAATGACTGCCTCACTGGCAACTACCCGAACACACTGTTCCTAGCTCCGACTAACCCAACAGAAGTCTCCCTTATTATCAACACACTAAAAAACAAGACAGGAGATTTAAATACCTTACCACCCTTTATATACAAAAATGTGTTGCAAGTGCTGTCACCAATCATTGCAACACTTTAACAAGTCCATCGAATCCTCTACCTTCCCTACAGTTCTCAAAATAGCGAGGATCACCCCGATCCACAAAGGAGGAGACTAAACAGACTTGAATAACTATAGGCCAATATCCAACTTTCAACCTCTCTCTAAAATCTTCGAAAAATTAATTCATATGCGAATCTATTCCTACCTCATCTCCCACAACATACTCAACCCCTATCAGTTTGGCTTCAGACCTAATAAAAATACAAATGATGCTATTATACACATGCTAGAACAAATATACACTGCACTAAAGAAAAAAGAAGTCCCACTGGGGATCTTCATTGATTTACGTAAAGCTTTTGATACAGTTGACCATAATTTGCTCCACTTAAAATTGTGACACTACGGTATAAGAGGGCACTCCCTCAACTACCTAAAGTCATACCTCAGCATCAGAAGCCAATATGTGTACACAAATGGAGCAAACTCTTCCGCACAGCCAATTATAGTTGGTGTCCCACAGGGAAGTGTCCTTGGCCCTCTTCTCTTTCTCGTTTACATAAATGACCTACCAAATGCATCACAACTACTCAAACCCACACTATTTGCAGATGACACTACATGCGTCTTCTCCTACCCAAGCCCAGTCATGCTAGCCAATACTGTGAATACCGAATTACAGAAAATATCTACCTGGATGATGACTAACAAACTTATTCTCAACATTGACAAAACCTACTTCATTCAGTTTGGAAACAGAGCTATAGATGTCCCTCTTAACATAATGATAAACGGATCTCCTATCACAAAGCTCACAGAGGGAAAATTCTTAGGAATCCACCTTGATAATAGACTCAAATTTCAAACACATGTACAACAAATTTCCAAGAAAATTTCCAAGACTGTAGGCATACTATCAAAGATGCGATACTATGTTCCACAGTCAGCCCTCCTGGCCCTATATCACTCACTTATTTACCCCTATCTCACCTATGGAATTTGTGCATGGGGCTCAACAACAAAAAACCATCTCAGACCATTAATTACCCAACAAAAGGCTGCAGTCAGAATGATAACAAATTCCCACTACAGGCAGCACACTCCACCAATATTCAAAACTCTAAACCTGCTCACCATACAAAACATCCATACTTATTATTGTACCTACTACATACATAGAACACTTAATATAAACCCTCCCCTCAAACATCTCCTTACCAACCTCAACAGAACACATGACCATAACACAAGGCACAGATCACTCTTTGATGTTCCTCATGTCCATCTCACACCATGCAAAAAACTCAATGCACATAAAAGGCCCAAAAATCTGGAATTCATTACCTGTGAATATAAAAGAAACACTATTTATAAATTCAAGTCTCTTCTTAAAAATGACTTACTCACCCACAACTAAATATTTTTTTTTTTCTCTCAACAAGTCGGCCGTCTCCCACCGAGGCAGGGTGACCCAAAAAAGAAAGAAAATCCCCAAAAAGAAAATACTTTCATCATCATTCAACACTTTCACCACACTCACACATTATCACTGTTTTTGCAGAGGTGCTCAGAATACAACAGTTTAGAAGCATATACATATAAAGATACACAACACATCCCTCCAAACTGCCAATATCCCAAACCCCTCCTTTAAAGTGCAGGCATTGTACTACCCATTTCCAGGACTCAAGTCCGACTATATGAAAATAACCGGTTTCCCTGAATCCCTTTACTAAATATTACCCTGCTCACACTCCAACAGATCGTCATGTCCCAAGTACCATTCGTTTCCATTCACTCCTATCTACCACGCTCACGCACGCTTGCTGGAAGTCCAAGCCCCTTGCCCACAAAACCTTCTTTACCCCCTCTCTCCAACCCTTTCGAGGACGACCCCTACCCCGCCTTCCATCCCCTATAGATTTATATGCTTTCCATGTCATTCTACTTTGATCCATTCTCTCTAAATGACCAAACCACCTCAACAACCCCTCTTCTGCCCTCTGACTAATACTTTTATTAACTCCACACCTTTTCCTAATTTCCACACTCTGAATTTTCTGCATAATATTTACACCACACATAAATAAATACTGAATACTGTAATTGTATCTCATAAATGTTTAACCTGTGACCCTATCAAACTTTGTTTTTCTTTTAATTACATTACCTAACAGAATACTCCATTCTACTGAATGCACAGCAACTTAGCAAATGACCTGTCTTTGAAATACTCAATTGTGCTTAATTGTTATTTGTTTACAATAATTTTTACCACTGAATATATCATTGCTTAGTTAATCTTAAGTTAATTTTAAGCCTGCCCATGATGCTCTGCATACAAGGGGCTTTTGGCATGTTACACTAAACCACTGTATTTCTTTGTACTTCTATGTATCATGTCCAAATTAATAATAAATAAATAAATAAACAAATAAAATAAATAAATAAAAGATTTGCAACCCATCCTCTTAACCACAGACAACATGGCACTGTTATAAAAATAGTCAAATGGGTGGATGTTGATGGAGCCTTGAACAGTTGATATAGGACTTATTTTAAAAGCCACACACAGAGTATGCCCATTTTCTGTGTGCGTGGTAGGGTGTTTTATTGTCATAAACTAATAACCTAACCTACCTGATCTACCTTAACCTAACCTTACCTAACTTAGAAATGGACTGCAAACTGTACATGGAAGTATGACAGTTATTAGGAGGATGGGTTTATGGTTTGTTATACAGAAATTTGCTGAACTTTGCTAGGTAGCAAGTTTTTGCCCTTTAAATGTTTTAGCCCCCTTTCTCCAGTGGTATTTTACAGTATTCTTACAACTATAATTCTCAGAGAGACTGACATATAGTTCAGACAGTCTTCTCTGTATCTTTTTTCAAATTTCGTCATTTCGTATACCATTTTTCATTTGTCATGTTAGTTTTTCTACTTGTGATAAAAACCCTAAACATTTCCTAGGTAGATACATACCTTTGATTTACTTTTGATGAGTTTCGAGAGTTTTATACTCTCGGAGCCCTGCCATGGGCCAGGATAAATTCATCAACACATTCTTTTAACATTTAATGTGTTATAGCATGTTATCTGTGCTTGCTGTTTTTCTTTTGTTGGCATCCTATAGCAGAATCTTTTCTTCCTCTTTGGATATTTCATTGTCCTCTTTTCAGTTAGCTTTGTAGAGTTCAGTGCTGCTACATTTAAAGTATCCTTTTCCTTACATGCACTCTAGCACTTCGTATTTAATGTGTACATCCCACATTCTCTCCTATACTTCGATAATTTTAGGGTCATTCTTTAGTTTTTGGTTTTTATCATTCATGTCAATTTTTCTTTTAGAACTTTGAATAAAAGACTTAGTTCAATCTTTCTCTCAACCACAATTTATTTGTATCTTGTTGCATTTGTAATTTAATTTCCAGCACCCTCCTTCAGTCCAGTTCTTGTTTGGTCTTGTTTTCTTTTACTTTTTTGTAATAGGCTGATTACATTTCCCTATGTGGAACTCTGTTTAATTTATTCATATGCATAATATTTTTCTTGCAATACGAACTGTTTATACTGTTTTGATACTCTAACATATTGTCTTAGCATATAGTTTGCTTTCATTCTTATACATTAGTAGTTCCTGTTTGTTTTTATTTTTTTTCCCAGCTCATTTATCAACATATGTTATTTCAAGTTGAGTCTAATTTCTCTTTACAAGTTAGCTTAGTTTAGTTTTTCTTTTTTTTTTTAATAATTTTTTTTTTCTTTTTTTTTTTTTACAAGTCGGCCGTCTCCCACCGAGGCAGGGTTACCCAAAAAGAAAGAAAATACTATCATCATCATTCAACACTTTCACCTCACTCATACATAATCACTGTTTTTGCAGAGGTGCCCAGGATACAACAGCTCAGAAGCATATACGTACGTATAAAGATACACATCATATCCCTCCAAACTGCCAATATCCCGAACCCCTCCTTTAGAGTGCAGGCATTGTTACTTCCCATTTCCAGGACTCAAGTCTGGCTATATAAAAATAACCAGTTTCCGTGAATCCTTTCACTAAATATTACCCTGCTTACACTCCAACAGCTCATTATGTCCCAGATACCATTCATCTCCATTCACTCCTATCAAACATGCTCATGCACGCTTGCTGGAAGTTCAAGCCCCTCGCCCACAAAACCTCCTTTACCCTTTCCTTCCAACCTTTTCGAGGATGGCCCCTACCCTGCCTTCCTTTCCCAACAGATTTATATGCTCTCCATGTCATTCTACTTTGATCCATTCTCTCTAAATGACCAAACCACCTCCACAACCCCTCTTCAGCCTACTGACTAATACTTTTATTAACTCCACATCTTCTCCTAATTTCCACACTCCGAATTTTCTGCATAATATTTACACCATATATTGCCCTTAGACAGGACATCTCCACTGCCTCCAACCTCCTCCTCGCTGCAGCATTTACAACCCAAGCTTCGTACCCATATAGGAGTGTTAGTACTACTATACTTTCATACATTCCCTCCTTTGCCTCCATAGATAACGTTTTTTGTCTCCACATATACCTAAATGCACCACTCGCATTTTTTCCCTCATCAATTCTATAATTAACCTCATCCTTCATAAATCCATCCTCCGATATGTCAACTCCCAAATATCTGAAAACATTCATTTCGTCCATACTCCTCCTCCCCAATTTGATATCCAGTTTTTCAGGATTTCAGGAACATAACTACCGTATATTATGAGGGTCTACTGTATATATTAAAAGTAAAAAAATTTTTTTTTTTTGTTTGATTTATTTAGTTCTGCAGGCTGCTGGCAACAACAATTTGGTTTACTAGGATGTCTAGCAGCAAGCTGGGCTGCAAGGGTAGAAGAACCCTTCAAACTGGTCACAGGTATTTCACTGGTAAACTAGGTAAATTTGTCACAGGTATGCCACAAGTAAACCACCTCTTACAAGGCTGTCATTCCCATGTGGAACAAAGTTTTAGAGAAAGTACAAAACAGTTTCTTCAAATATTCACTCTTTGCAGGAGCATGACTCATACAGAGCATTTCGCTCACAACACCTGAACATGAACATTGTCCTTGAAACCAAGTCTATGAAGAAGGGCGATACTATTGTTAATCCAGTCATTGAGGCCTTGTTTTATGGAAGTACTCTCAGGTAAGAGTCAAGAGTCTCAATGAATGGTTTAGAAGACTGACATGTTGATAAATGAGACACTTTGGCAACATTTGAGTAGTCCTCCAGTCTAGGAGTAGGTGATGAGCACTGTAGTCTTGATGAATTCTTCATGAGTCAAGAAGATTATAACTTCACTTACATTTGCAACAGTAAATGTGTGAAACCAAGAGTTACTTGAAATCTCCAGTGAATGTGTGTAACCACAATACTAACTTAATCTAGCTAATGTGTGTCAAGAAATTAGCTTAGAATTATGTAAGAAATTGATGTTTGCTTTAGGAGGATGGATTGGATATTTTCATCATGCTCTTCTGAACAAAATTAGACCTAAATTATTAAGTAGTAGTCACGAAATATGTAAGTTATACTACTCAAGTTTTCTTTCTGATACGAATATGCAAAACATGAAGATCAAAACCAAGAAATTGATGCAATTACTGATTTTCATAAGGATTATGTGCAATGACTGGGGATGACAAGGATTGTGTGTATTTACTAGGAATTTTACATTCTGATTTTACACTTTTACTGTAACTTATATGCCTTAGTAAAATATGTAATTCATGCCCTACCCCCCCCCCCTTTTTTTTGGGGGGGGGGGGCTTTCTTTCATGTTGAGAACTGGAGTTGCCCTCCCCTTCCTTAGATCAAACCTGATTACTGTTATATGTCATCCATAGGTTTTACATTTTGCCCAAGAATGTAAATATTATCTAGCCTTTGCTCTTAATGTTGTCTTGTCTAGATAGTTGGTTAAAGTTATTTAAATTGTCAGGTTTCTACTACTTCAGGAATAAACTGGCATACTCAACAATGAAGTTATATCTCCAAATTTATGGGCTTCCTTAACCCTTTCAGGGTACCCAGGCCCTCTCCCAGACTTGTTCTCACTGTTGCCCAAATTAAAAAAAAAAAAAAAAAAATATTTTTTCTTATGAAAAGACAGAGAATTTTTTCCCGATCATAATGACACCAAAAGTATGAAATTTGATGGAAAACTTATGGAATTATGCTCTTGCGAAGTTAGCGGTCTCGACGATGTTTACGCATCAGCGATTTTGCCCACTTTGAGCCCTATTTTCAGCCAATTCCAGTGTACTAGTTGACAAAAATCATAACTATTTCGCTAGAACTCCATTTTTTCTATCGAATGAGTACAAGAAACCATCCATTTACCAATTTCAACTTTCCAATACAGTGGTCAGAATTTAGCAATTTTGCCAATTTCACATAAATTTCAAAAGATGCCAATTTCCAGATATGGTCCAGAATAAACAAGAAAGACATTCCTGGCACTAAAATAAGATTTCCTCTGTTCATTAGTCATGTCCCCACACCCCTCTTACATTCTTTTGCTTTCCACTTTGAATTTTTATTCTCACAAAAAATAGAAGATTTACTGTTATGCAGACTACTGCATTAGTGTATAAATGGAATAAATAATATTGGTGCACTTGTGAAAGAATATTAGACTCACCAGTTGACGTGTATTGGACACTTAGTATGATTTGTTTACTTTTGAACTTTGGTAAAAATTGAACATTTCTGCTACTTTGAGCTCAATTTTAAGGTACTTTTCATTGTAAAACCAGTCAAAATCATCTCAATTTCTATAATATGTCTTCCATTCTATAAAATGAGACCAGGAAAACTAGAATACAACAATAAATACCATACGAAAATACAGTGCAAAGTCGCTGTTTTAAACCAAAAACACAGTTTTTTTCTTCTCATTACGCACTGTTTGCTGCAGGATTTTTTTTATACTGCGCACACTGACCACATAGACCCATTCCTTCATGTGTAGGCCTACCAACTTTCACTAGATTTGAGGGCGCTAGAATTTAGGCATACTAGTATGTCAAAAACCCTGGTGTGTAAGCCGTACTAGTACGTCCGAAACCCTGAAATTGTTAATTCGGGATTTAGTTATCCAACACATTTGTTGATGGGCAAACAGTGAATAGATTCAATTAGCCAATTTATTTTTTTTTGCTCAGTGGCTTTCTATGCCCAACTCTTTGTATTCCAATCATTATTTCTGATGAAGCTGAATAATAAGCAGATAAGAATGATACATTAAAGAGGTATGGTCTCTCAAATAAAACAGATATAAATTTGAAGCAAATTTTTTTTATAGACTTAATTTTGTGTTGTTCACAGGTTCAAATTAAATGGGACCTCTAGGAATGTAACCCCATAATTTTGAAGGGATGGCATTTGTTTACACAGCAAAAAGTAGGAGAGAAAGAGTTTGACTATATGATAGAGGGGATGAGCCACGATTTTAGTTATTATTTTCTAAGAGCTTTAGAAGAAATCAGTATTATCAACAAATTGTTTTGGTTTCAGGTGTTGGGTCATATATGAGAAATCCTTCATAACCAGTCATACCTCATTAATCCAGGAAAGCCAGAATCATCAGCTTTCTCATTTTCTAAGTAAAGAAGATTTTCAAATTAATATGTAGACTGACAGTAGTGTTTATAGTTATAATTCATCCAACCCAAGTCAACCTATACCCATACTGTGGTCAATGAACACCTCATATCCATCCTATGGGCAGTAGTCACCCAGTACCCATACTGTGGGCAGTAATCACCTCGTATCCATATGGGATGGATATGGGGCTGTAATTGCCCCATATCCATCCTGTGGACAGAAGTTAATAGATTATTGAGGTCCATAATAGGTCCAGGGACTGGGCTCAAACATTTATTGATTCAGTTACAACACTAATGAATTGTTAACATAATAAATTCAGTCATATAATTATTAAAATGATGCATCTTAAATGTTGTTGGTCTATAAGGGACTGTCAGATGTACTTTATTGACTAAGCAAGTTATATTATCCATGAGTTATTTATAGTAGACAAATTTAAGGTATTTCTCGAGCATCCGTGAGTAAGTTATATTATGGTATCTCCAAATTTTTGAACTTTTATTCATTCAAACACTCAGTGACTCGGTATAATAATATTTTTAATTAATTAAGTAAGCTTTTGTCTGTGTTGAGTGACTCTAATTATTTTTAAGTAAATTTCAAGTAACTTAATGAAATTCAATGAGAGTAAATTGAACAACATTTAGTATTAAGATAAGAAACTAGGAATATTTTGTCTTGACTAAATTAATTTTTTCGATTAAAGCACGTTTTTTTATAAACAAATGTACTGCATTAACATAATTTCTCTTTTTTTGTAGATGGTTTGAAAATCTCAAGTTTATTTTGTCTGGGGTTGCCCGTCCCACCCGTCGTGGCCCTCTTTTCAAGAACACTAAAGCTCGTAAACCTCAACTCTCTCGGCACTATAACACAATACATCTCTCAATATCTTTCCAGGTAAGAGTGATATGTAACAGAATTGTATTAAATATAGTATCATGTTTGTATGGGATAGAACCATAAGTACTGTGATACCCACTAAAAGTGATACTCACTTTTAGTGAAAGTGATACTCACTTTTAGTAACCATAAGTACTATAGAATGACTTGGAGAGCATATAAATCTGTAGGGTAAGGAAAGCTGGGTAGGGGTCGTCGTAGAAAAAGTTGGAGGGGAGGGTAAGGGAGGTTTTGTGGGCGAGGGGCTTGGACTTCCAGCAAGCATGCATTAGCATGTTAGATAGGAGTGAATGGAGATGAATGGTTTTTGGGACCTGATGAGCTGTTGGAGTATGAGCAGGGTAATATTTTGTGAAGGGATTCAGGGAAACCAGTTAGCTGGACTTGAGCCCAGGACGTGGGAAGTACAATGCCTGCAATTTAATGGAAGGGTTTGGGATATTGGCTGTTTGGAGTGACATTTAAACTGTCGTATTTGAGCGCTTCTGCAGAGACAGCGATTATATATGAATGATGGTGAAAGTGTTGAATGAAGATGAAAGTTTTTCTTTCTTTTTGGGTCACCCTGTCTTGGTGGGAAACAGCTGATATGTTAAAAAAAAAAAAGTACTATGATCTCCATGGGGAAGTGGAAAAGAATTCTTCCTACATAAGCCATGCGTGTCATAAGAGGCAACTAAAATGCTGGGAGCAAAGGGTTAGTAACCCCTTCTGTATTTTTATTTTTTTATTAATACATTGGCCTATTCCCACCAAGGCAGGGTGGCCCAAAAAAGAAAAACTTTCACCATCATTCATTCCATCATTGTCTTGCCAGAGGGATGCTTTACACTACAGTTTATAAAACTGCAACATTAACACCTCTTTTTCAGAGTGCAGGAACTATACTTCCCATCCAGGACTCAAGTCCGGCCTGCCGGTTTCCCTGAATCCCTTCATAGCTGTTACTTTGCTCACACTCCAACAGCACGTCAAGTATTAAAAACCATTCGTCTCCATTCACTCCTATCAAATACTCTCACACATGCTTGCTGAAAGTCCAAGCCCCTTGCACACAAAACCTCCTTTACCCCCTCCCTCCAATCTTTCCTAGGCCAACCCCTACCCCACCTTCCCTTCACTACAGATTGATACACTCTTGAAATCATTCTGTTTCGTTCCATTCTCTTTACATGTCCGAACCACCTCAACAACCCTTCCTCAGCCCTCTTATCAACAGTTTTGGCAATCCCACACCTCCTCCTAACTTCCAAACTACAAATTCTCTGCATTATATTCACACCACACATTTCCCTCAGACATGACATCTCCACTGCCTCCAGCCTTCTCCTCACTGCAACATTCATCACCCATGCTTCACACCCATATAAGAGCGTTGGTAAAACTATACTCTCATACATTCCCCTCTTTGCTTCCAAGGACAAAGTTCTTTGTCTCCACAGACTCCTAAGTGCACCGCTCACCCTTTTCCCCTCATCAGTTCTATGATTCACCTCATCTTTCATAGACCCATCTGCTGACATGTCCACTCCCAAATATCTGAATACATTCACCTCCTCCATACTCTCTCCCTCCAATCTGATATCCAGTCTTTCATCACCTAATTTTTTTGTTGTCCTCATAACCTTACTCTTTCCTGTATTCACTTTTAATTTTCTTTTACATACCCTACCAAATTCATCCACCAGCCTCTGCAACTTCTCTTCAGAATCTCCCAAGCGCACAGTGTCATCAGCAAAAAGCAACTGTGACAACTCCCACCTTACGTTTGATTCTTTATCTTCTAACTCCCTTCTGTATACATTACTAAATTAAAAAAGAGAGAATTTTGTTTTTCTTTTTAAGTCACCCTGCCTTGGTGAGATATGGCCGGTTTGTTGATAAAAAATACTGTGAAATGTTTGTAACCATTTTTTTGTTTATAATGTTTTAACTCTGCAGAGATTTGATGTGAGGTACTGGATGTCTGTTGGTGTTAAGAAAGGTTTCCATCTCAGTGGGGAGCGGCTCTCCCTTAGCTCAGGTTAGTCTTCATGGTTAGTTTAGTTGTATAAGCATTTAGATTTTTGTAAAGAAAAGACAGCTGTTTTATGTTATTGCTTTCCTCATGAATCATAAGTAAGATCATATGTGAGATGGTTAAGGTGTGTATTGTTTGTGGAGGAAATTTCAGACAGTATGATTTGTGTGATACAGTAATGAGTAGGGATGGGACGATAGCAAAAATTTTGCTGATGCTGATACTCACTTTTAGGATGATACCATATCAGTACCATCAGAATTACCTGATACCAGTACCAGTGTTTTGGCACATCACCAGTGATGAGGAAATCACATGCATATCATCACTATTTAAATTCCAGTAAAAATCATGGGCACATAAATGAATGGTTTCTCACACAGCATTTACTACATCACCCAACTCTGGTCTACTCATTATTGAATTGTTTCAATGAGGGTTTTATTACCAAATTATTTATGATTTGTAGGTTTTATTGCTTAAAAATAAAAGCTGTGAGTGTGTGCATTATATAATTTTTGTTATTAAGGTAAACCCTCTGTTTAATGGACTAACTAGGAGGAGCGGGTGGCCAGTAATGGCAGTTGTGGTGGATAAAGAAAAGATTGATGTGCCGTGATTGTAACTGATGAACAATTTCATGACCAAATGACTTTATCCAAACCTATTGATCAAGCAGATTTTATTCCATATTTCCAAAGTCTGTTAAATGGGGGTCCATTAAAACGGAGAGTTTACTGTACATCGGAGCCTCATCTTACGAACTTAATCCATTCTGTGACCTTGTTCATATCCTGATTTGTTTGTATGCTGAGTCAGTTTTCTCATTTAAATTAATTAAAATGCAGTTAATCTGTTCCAGCCTCTCAGGACGCATAACAAAATAACGCTAATATCAACTCCACAGCTTATTTGTCTATCACAGTTCATCTAATATGACGTAATAAACAATACATATTAATAACACAGAAATATGATATATACTCTAGTATGAATAAAATAGGCCATAATATGGTGAGAAATGGCAACGTCGGCAGCATCCGCCATTTACTCTCCCACTCTAGTATCTTCCAAGTCCATAACCCCACACCTAGCTTGTGTTTGTCTATGATTAGTGGTGAGGTTGTCACGTATATAACCACAGGTGTGGTCAAGACAGACGTATATATAGGCGAAGAGGTGATCACTATGGTGGTGGTGGTGAAGTGCCTCTCTGCTGTTGCCTTCTTCGTTTCTCTAGCATTTTTCATAGTTTCTAATTACGTCTTGCTGATTGTACAGTGGAACCTCTACTTGCGAGTTTAATCCGTTCCATGAGCTTGCTCGCAACTGGATTTGCTCATTTGCAGAGTCAATTTTCCTCATTTAAATTAATTGAAATGCAATTAATCTGTTCCAGTAGAATTCTGTACTTCAATAATTTCGCTAATATCAACTCTACGGCTTATTTATCTATCTCACTTCATCTAATATGACATAATAAACAATATAAATAACATAGAAACCTGATATATACTCTAAAATGAATAAAATATGTCATTCATGTAGTGGTATGGGCAGTGTCGGCGGTGGACGAGAGTTTGTCTGGACACCGGGCAAAATACTTCATAAATAATTTCGCTAATATCATCTATACGCCTTATTTATCTATCACCGTTCATCTAGTATGACATAACAAACAATATGAATAACATAGAAACATGATATATACTCTAGAATGAAAAAATATGTCATTCATGTAGTGGTATAGGCGGTGTCGGAGGTGGAGGAGAGTTTGTCTGGAGACCGGACAAAATACTTCATGAATAATTTCGCTAATATCATCTATACAGCTTATTTATATAACAGAGTTCATCTAATATGACATAACAGACAATATAAATAACATAGAAACACGATATATACTCTAGATTTACTGTTATTCCTTATTGCAATAATTGTATAAATATGTCAACCCATTCACGACTGCATATTGGAATGGACAGTGACATCATTTGTTTACTCTGAAACAGCTAAGCAATGGACCATTTCTCCTAGGTTGAGCTCAATTTCAAGGCACTTTTCATCATGAAAGCAATCAAAATCATATCTATTTCTGTAATATATCTTCCATTCTATCAAATGAGACCAAAAAAACGAGAATACAACCATAAAAACCATTCAAAATTACCACTAAGGGTGGCTAATTGCTGAGAAGTGAACTCCATTATTTATGCTTAGATTTCTTTCATTTTTGGTGTACGTTAAGAAGCATCTTTCCATCATACATTGCCCAAATTTCAATAAGATAGTCCAACAAACAAATGAGATACAATTCCCGAGATCAAGAGCAAGAGCCCCTTACCAGTGTCAAGGAACCTGCCTTGAGGTCTGCTCGCTTGTGGAAATTTTGCTTGCATATGGAAGCAAAAATTCGACCCATTGACTGCTCGTACAGTGGACCCCCGCATACCGTTGGCATCACATAACGTTAAATCCGCATAGCGATACATTTTATCACTAAAATTTTGCCTCGCATAGCGCTAAAAAACTCGCTCAACGCTATTCGTCCGAGACGCGTCTATGTGAGGCCTGAGCCAGCCTCACATGTTCCGCCGGTGGCATTGTTTACAAGCCAGCCTCCACGGTAACATCCAAGCATACAGTCGGAACATTTCATATTATTATAGCGTTTTTGGTGATTTTATCTGCAAAATAAGTGACCATGGGCCCTAAGAAAGCTTCTAGTGCCAACCCTGTGGTAAAAAGGGTGAGAAATATTATCGAAATACTGTGGTACCATGGTCAACTGCTGATGCTGCTGCTGCTGTAGCACTGTCAGCTGCTGCTGTAGTACCGTCTGCTCCTGCTGCTGCTGTAGTACCGTCTGCTGCTGCTGTAGCACCATCTGCTGCTGCTGTAACACTGTCAGCTGCTGCTGTAGCACTGTCAGCTGCTGCTGCTGCTGTAGCACTGTCAGCTGCTGCTGCTGCTGCTGTAGCACTGTCAGCAGCTGCTGCTGCTGTACCACCGTCAGCTGCTGCTGCTGCTGTAGTACCGTCTGCTGCTGCTGTAGCACTGTCAGCTGCTGCTGTAGCACTGTCAGCTGCTGCTGCTGTAGCACTGTCAGCTGCTGCTGCTGCTGCTGTAGCACTGTCAGCAGATGCTGCTGCTGTACCACCGTCAGCTGCTGCTGCTGCTGTAGTACCGTCTGCTGCTGCTGTAGCACCGTCTGCTGCTGCTGCTGCTGCTGTAGCACTGTCAGCTGCTGCTGTTGCTGCTGTAGCACTGTCAGCTGCTGCTGCTGTAGCACTGTCAGCTGCTGCTGCTGCTGCTGTAGCACTGTCAGCTGCTGCTGCTGCTGCTGTAGCACTGTCAGCTGCTGCTGCTGCTGCTGCTGTAGCACCGTTGTTGGTGTGGCTTATTGAGAATACCAAGAAACAATTAACACCAGAGGGTTAGCCACCCAGGATAACCCAAAAAAGTCAGTGTCATCGAAGACTGTCTAACTTATTTCCATTGGGGTCCTTAATCTTGTCTCCCAGGATGCAACCCACACCAGTCGACTAACACCCAGGTGAACAGGGAAAAAATGCCTGGAACTAGTGCTCATATTGGTGAATTTAAAGCCAGCAAAGGTTGGTTTGAGAGATTTAAGAATCGTAGTGGCATACACAGTGTGATAAGGCCTGTTCTGGAAGAAAATGCCAAACAGGACCTACAGTACTCAGGAGGAAAAGGCACTCCCCGGACGCAGTGTCTCATCAGTCATTGCTGCATCTTCAATAAAGGTAAGTGTCATTTATTCTTCATTTAGTAGAGTAGTACATGCACAATATATATTGTGCATGTACTACTCTACTATTGTGCATGTATCCTTCTCTTTGTGTGTAGGAAAATGTATATTTCATGTGGTAAAAATTTTTTTTTCATACTTTTGGGTGTCTTGCACGGATTAATTTGATTTCCATTATTTCTTATGGGGAAAATTCATTCGCATAATGATAATTTCGCATAACAACAAGCTCTCAGGAACGGATTAATATCGTTATGCGGGGGTCCACTGTATTTGGAAAAACTCGCACGTGGACACGCTCACAAGTAGAGGTTCCACTGTACGTGAATACTGTCTCTTCAGGCAAGGGATTGTGTAAGAAATTTGAGATAGCTTGGTCTAGCAGCTGTACCTACAGCCACCCAGAGAGTTACCAATTTGTATTTTGAAGCATTTGGCACAAAAATATGAAAAAAAAAAATACAAAAAATGTCTGAAAATGTCATTATTATTATTATTATTATTATTATATTGCATTATTATTATTGTTATATTATTATTATTATTATTATTATTAGTAGTAGTAGTAGTAGTAGTACATACGTATTATTATAATTATTTTTTAGTAGTACAGGTCCTCCATCACAAATCCGGCATCATTGGGACCTGTAGTGTCCCGGATTACTGAGTTTGCAGGATTACAGAGTGGTTAGGTTAGAATACACTTAATAAAATTAACCAACTTGATTTACACAAAGTTCATTGAACATCAGCAAAAATCGAACATTTCCGCTACTTTGAGCTCAATTTCAAGGTACTTTTCATCATGAAAGCAATCAAAATCATGTCTATTTCTGTAACATTTCTTCCATTCTATCAAATGAGACCAAAAAAATGAGAATAGAACCATAAAAACCATACGAAAATATACCACAAAGAGGCGGTTAATGACTGAGAAGTGAACTCCCTTATTTATCGTCCGTCTTTTTTATTTTTGGTGTACATTAAGAAGCATCTTTCCATCATACATTGCCCAAGTTTCAGTGATATAGCCCAACAAACAACTGAGAAAAAAACAATATTTACCAAAAATCATGGCAAGCCCAAGCCAGTTACTGGAAATAAGTCACTTTGTTTGACTTTTGTTTGGGTTATCCTAGGTTCTCTATACATACACTGCTATGTATGATAATCTATGTAACTGTATTTGTGTATACCTGAATAAACTTACTTCTAGTCTGTCGACTGA